CAGGTGGGGCGCTCACCATTCGCGCGGTCCCGGGTTCGCATCCCGGGTCGTCTCCCGCCCGGCCAACCAAGCCTTCTACCCTCCGGGGACGGTAAATTGGTACCAGATTCGTCTGGGAGGATAAAACACTGACTTGTACATCGGCTGGCCACCGCAAGTCATTGTATAGGCCACATCGCATTCAATAAGCCACTACGATTCTGAATGGAAGTAGAATGCGTGCCGCATCCCACAAAGGGATTGATTAACGGCGAAGACTTTATCCTTTATCCTTTTAAACATGAAATTACTTCTATTTCGCCAAGGAGGGAGCAGAAGAGCGGAAGTCATCGCGCGCCGTCAGCCGCTGGTCACACCCCCCCCACCCCAACCTCCCCCAAATATGTTAGCACCGAAATTAGTCCCAATGTTTCCTTCGCCGTGGTTCTTGCCCATAACAGCAAATGACAACGTGGGGTTCCCGATATAAAGGGGCTTCAGAGCTTTGAGTGGATTTTCACAGTAAGCTTTGTTGATCTTGAGGAGGTGGATCTTTGCTGAGATGTGCAGCTAAAGGAAGGGTCAGTTCAGTTCAGGTCAGTTTCCCACCCTTCAAGTTGCGTTCATTTCTCGAATGAGTGACTCGGGTAATTGCTCACCAAAGGAGGTTCGCGAATCCGCGATATCGGTGCATTTATACTGTAGGCGGAGCCAACAGTTTCTAAGGCCGCGTTCATACACAGCGCCTCCGCGGCCTCCGTGGCCTCCGCGGAATTTCCAAATCGATACGTATACTTTGCTTATTCTAAAAATTCCGCGGAGGCCACGGAGGCGCTGTGTATGAACGCGGCCTAAGCAATCCTTTACCTCCGACTCTTCGCAATCGCTGATTCTCCACGTTCGCAAAATATGAGCCGTATCATCGTCACATATCTCGTTGTTGCATCACGCATTTCTTTGTTACAGGGAAGGGGAATCCGTTATGGTCAATTGAAGAAATCGCAATATTTGGATATAAGTACCTACGAAGGTCACCCGTGGATATTTAGAGAGTCAGGAGTTGGAGATCTACTTATAGGACAACCTGGTCGGATTTCTGTGAGTTACTTTTTTACCACTTGCGCATGTGTTTTTCTAATGATATTACATCAACGATGAAACGCACACCGTTTCCCCTGAAAAAGAGCGCAATTTTGCTGCGTAATGCGACAATTCGATATTGTCGACAGAGCTGGGTAGATTTTAAATGCTGTCCGCTACACGCCCATGAGGACTGCCGACGTAAATGGGAATAAATTATGGGTTTAGGCATAGACTGAGGACGATATTCGATGAGAAGGGATAGTAATCACTTTGAAGTGCTTGCAGGGCCCATTTTTTTATCGTCGTGCTCTTTGTAAATCGTGACCGTTTCAGGTATACTTTCCCAAGCGAGAGAATATCAACGTTATTAGTCGGGTTTGCGTACTAATAACATTTCCTTGTAAGTTTTTTTCTTGCCTGCTTGTGTCTGTAATTGATTAATTTCTATTAAGAACGGCTAGCGGGGTCCATTTGTGTTGAGTAATTGTCCTCTTTTATCTCACATTTGCCTTTTTACCTGAAGTTTTCCGTTTCGCTTTTTATTTCCGGCCTATTTCCATCCTTATTTTACTTTTATTGTTCCTGTGTTTTTTGAGTAATGTCATTGGAGATGGGTCAGTAGGCGGTGCTGTTGCGGAATTTTCGTAAGAAATTGCTGCCATATGCGTTACTGCGGAACTCTTGTTGCCCCTTCCAGCTAGTCAAATCGTTAGTTTTTTTTTCTTTTCTTATGCTTCTACTTGTCGAGCTCATCTTTCTCCTCTATCTATTTTTATTTTTTCTCTTTTGGTTCTCTTTTGGTGAAAAAAGATCACATATAGGCCTTCTCTGGAGAAGATTACTTGTTGAGTATGTTGCGATGACGCGGAGAAAGCAGTAGCGCGCACAGAATTTACACTACACCTGCTCCTCCACTTCGCTCCTCACCACCCAACGACATGTGCTGGGGAGAGGGCAGAGTATCTCCCGTCTGTTGACTATGCTATGCGCTGCACTATTTTCGGTCAAAGCGTGCGCCAGGAGAGTAGGGGTCAGAGTGGCGAGAGCCATAGATAACAATGAATAGCTGAGACCCTTTGAGGGATGCTTCCCGTCGAGGGGAGTATGCCCATGGCCCCAGCTCGCGCGATCAGGGCTACGAAATCGTGAAGTATGAGCGTATTCTTTACTAGGGGTTACCTTCTGCTACTGTGCTTATTCTCCGATTCAAGAAGGTAGAGGTATTGGGCGCGCTACCACTTCATTACGTGAACTCCTGGAGTTCATTGATGCTCTAGTGAAGATTTATGCACGAAACGCCGTCAGTTACAGAAATAGGGACAATTGGCGTGCTCCGTAGGAGAATAAAAGGCCAAGGAAGAGGGAAAAGTGGACGGAATTTTAATCTTGAGGTATCGCCTTCGAAAACGTGTACATACTTGCTCGCTGGGCTTTATAGGAATATCCCTTGGATTCACGCAAAAGATCAGATGAAATATTTCGAAGACATTCATTCCAAGGGAGGATAGGGGCCGTGACACTTGAGCAAAGCCACCACTTGAAGGCAGTTGGCACGATGATTTGGTGCTCGGCCTAAAATGCTAGTAGGGCGCTATATAGTGGGGAAATGGCGAAAGAACGGAGTGAAACGGTCAAAATCCTGCGAAGAAAAAGCCTCCGTTCTCAGTGACTTGAAAATCGATTTCGGACGAGTTTCCCGTAGGCATCTTACCAATCACCGCTACCGAAGATACGGCTGCATATGTGTACCCATGTATGCATGCAGCACGGCCGCTTCATACCAATCCCTTCGCTTCATAATTTGCTTAGCAAATGAATGAATACGAGCGTCAGGAACGGTCGTCCATTTGTGGGCGGGCGGGCGTGGAGGGCATTTGGGTCGGTATGTGTGGCTTGATGGGGCCCTTATGAAGGCACCTCCCTCGGCATTTCTTCACGAACGCAAGCTACGAACGCGGCCTTGAACAAGGTCAGATTCAAATTTGCTCGAACGCGACTTATTTTACAGAAAAACGTGCACGCACCACCACTGCAGCGCAGCGAGCGTCGCGCCAGGGCAGTTTAGACACATAGATCCGCACGCCGCCTTTCCGGGGTCCTTATTGCATATGTACTGTGAAATCTCCACTTGTACCTTTCACCTCCCTCAATTGCCTGTTCGTTCATTTTCCCCTTCAGGGTTACTGCCGTCGTTACGTTCCCTTCTTTACAGTATCCCTCTTTTAAGCAGACGACTGGACTGGTTCTTTTTTCAGAAAGTTGTGCAAAGTTTGCTTGTCCATCGACTTCAATATGTAAGCATGTTTGAACCGAATCCTCTGGTTGGACGGCGTCTTCGAGCCACAGTACGACGATACATGAACGTGAGTTGTCTTTTATTGGAGATTTTAGTTTCTGTGTGGTTTCAGAAGGTATGGAAATATTATTTATTTCATGCATTTCGTTTTAGCCTTCGCTAGAGATGCCTGAGCCTTTACCCCCTCTTCGCGATGTTGCAAGAGAAGATCCTGGGGAGAATGCTGAACAAATGGAGGAGTAACAAATGGACGATGCTCGAGTGTTCCCCATTTGCAAACCTCTGGAACCATTGCAATTCGTTTCCAGTGGTGATGCACGATTTCAGCTAGATGTTCCATTCTTGGCGGAACCGAACATCAAAGCGGTCTTCTGTCGGCTGTCGTCAGTAGGAAATCTTCCAGGTTTCGTGACGCAAGATTCATGACATGATGGGCTTCGATTTTTCATTTGAACTTCTCTCGCTTCTGTCATGCAGGCAGCGTTTCCGAAAAACGTTTCCAGAAGGAATCCTTCTTTGGTCTAGTGGAACCGAATGGAGCCATATGGCAGCTCAGAATTATTATGCAAATATATTAGTAGTATATTTCACGAACTTTCTGCTCTTGAGTAGCTCTCGAGGGAGAGTACTGGTAGGAAGCCATCTTGCCAGTAAAGTTTTCTCAAGTTAGTGGTCCTATTTCCCTAGACAGGACCCCCCCCCCTCGCCTGTTTTCCGATTTTCCGCTACCTTTCAAACAGATTGGTTTGAATGGTTGGCTGCCCTTTGCTTTTATAAGAGGTCTAGGATTATTCTATGAATCGTCTGGAGTAAATTACCGACTAGAGAAATACCTTGTCTGTTAGTAGATGCGCTGAGCATTGGGCTATCCATTGCCAAAAAAGCTCACCCTGTTGATCCAAAAGGCCCAAGAAATCGTCTGCTTTGCAGTGTTTTTGCACATAATCTGTGTCGGCTGCCCCCTCAAAAGATTGCTTCCACGCATCAGGGTTGTCTAACTCTGATGCGTAAACAGTCCATTATGAATCGTATACCATTCCTTATTTTATTCAGGGTAATGTAATAGTCTTGCCATCATCAAGCGAACATATTCATTTCCGTAAAGTGCATGTTGTACCACTGCTCCAATGTGTTCTGTTCCAAATCTCCGAAAGTGGTGTTTATTGTTTGGAGTTCCCATCGTTTAAAGGCACGCCCCGCACTCATTTGATGTTCAGACGCCTTTACTGGATATGATTGTCCTGTACGCAAGCATGGAGGTTGTACCTCGAAAATACGTGAGAAAAGCGTGAGCCCTCCCGGCCACGGTTCCGCCCACTGGCCGCGGCAACCCCCAACTTTCATTTCTTCTGACTTCTTGGTGGTGCTATCATTCCACTGTAACTTTTTCATTTCGCACAATGACCATTCTTGGAGGCGAGGCGTGCCTTTATTGCGTGAATCTAGTCAATTGCTTAGCTGATGTCGTATATGTCTTTCAGTCATGGAAATTTGAGATCCTTCAAATTTAAATTAATTCAAGTTAATGATATCTCTCTCTGTTCCGGTCGAGCTTTGTGAAAGCGCTGTACCTCTGACGTTTTTTTTTCACTTTTTCTTATCGGAAAGAGATAAGCATACGAATATTGTCAATCGATACGTTGTTGTTCAAACTTTTGTTTTTTTTTGCCCCCCCCCACACCCTGATTTTGACTTAGATCCTTGGATGTTGTCTATACTTTCCAACTAGACGTGTGTTGCGCCCCACGTTCTCGCCCTGATTCTACATTTTACTGCTGGCTTCGTTTAC